GAATAAATAACATTTTTTTTTTTTCCCAAGAGGGAAAATGCTGGGTGCACCCCACGATGCTGTCAAACTCCTGCAGTCCTCAAGCATCTTCCCCCCCCGGCAGGTCCCGGCTGTGGCTGTGCTGTGCACGCTGGAAACACCGTTGCCTTTAATTTATCTATACAAAGAGCCAATATTGTGCTTTTCCAAGCAGGAAATATTTGGGGTTCACTCAAAATGTTGTGAAAACCAAGGCGAAGAGTGTGGCGAGATGAGGGAAGGGGAGGAGCGGTGCTGTCACCGGTGCTATCTCCGCTTTCGGTCGGATTTTCTTTGCTACAACAACGCTGGCAGCTGCTCACGGCCAGCGTCTGGTCAGCCCCATCACAGGTTTGGGCTACCTGAGTTCACGTCCGGACGCAGCCAGCGTCTCCAAGGCATTTCCACATCTCACCGAAGAGAGATCCCGCATTTTTCTTTCCTGGAGCAGTGGATTCGTGTGCCTTTCCCCTTAGCCTCTCATCTCCAAACTCCTCGGAGCCGCTAATGAAAAGCTTCCCGCCGCGGCGGGACCGCCGCTTTGCTGGATTAAGAAACGCTCCTCGAGGAAGCCGACAACCATAACAAAACCGTTTGCTAAGATAACATTATTTCAGGATGGCGGCTGCTTTCCTACACACGCAGCTCGGCTGCTGCGGATACTAAACGGCCCCGACCGACAAACCCTCCTGAACCGCCGGAGCGTGCCCTGCAGAGGCGATCTCCATCCCAGCACATCCCATGGATGATCTGAGTCGCACTCTGGGCTGAATTGGGGCCGAACCAGACACACCGGGCACACACGAGGGGGTTTTGGGGCTGCTCCAGGCTGCGCTGCTGCCTCCCGCATCCCACCGCCCACTGCCGCTTGGGGCTCACCCATCGCCTTTCCCTCCTCGCCCGCCGTGGAAAGAAACCTTTTCGCTTTATCCCCTTGGCACGTCCCCTCCTGCTAAACGTGAACATCTGCCGAGTATAAACCGGTTAGCCGGGAGTGTTTGTACAGCCTCTGCAATCTGCGCTCCCATGTTTACTCACATCGGGCTTGTTTAAAGCTGATTTGACAGGAAAATGAATGCGTGCGGTTTTGTTATGACTCAGGGCAAGCTGACTTCTCCCCCGCCCCCCCCCAAGCCCGACATCATTCAAGGAGGGCTTTCGGCAGAATAAATAAATAAAACATAAATAAAACAGGGAGCGGCGAGAGGGAAATGAACGGTGCAGGTGGACCATATACGTATTTTATTGCGAAGGAGGGAGAGGGATGTCCCTCCTCGTTGATGTCACCACCATTTACACCCATCGGTGATGAGAACTCTCCCACCCCTGAGTTGGGAAAGCAGACGTGAGGGGAAACGGCGCTGGAGGGCTCAGCTCTCGGGGCTGGGTTACAAAAGCGCTCAGCATCCCTTTCCCTTTGGAAAGCAAAGTCCACGAATCCTTATAGATGACATTATTCCCCAATCACAGTGAAAGTGAAGGTGTGGGAGAGAAGCAGGAGGGAAATAAATATTAATGGAGACCCTCCACAAATTGGGATGCTCCTGAGGTTTTGGGAATGCTCCTAAGATTTTGGCAACTCCTTAGAGATTAGGGGAGCTCAAGAAATTATTCGTATCCTAAATTGTGCAAATCACATCCCGATGAAGCCAATAAATGCCTGGCAGAGGAAGAAAGCTGGGGTCTGATGGCAACGGGATGGTTTCCCAGCAGAAGGCTTTCTGGGGTAGAAGGATGGTGGGAAGAGCCGCCACCGCGGGCGGTTGGAGGGCTTGGTCTTGGACTCGCGTCGCTGCAGGGGGAAAGGAGGTTCCCTAGGGAGCAGGGGAACGGGAGCCTCAAAGGAGGGAGAAATTCCTCCTTGCTCGCCGCTTTCTTCGAAAACCCAAACGCTGCAAATAGCCTGAGAAGAAGGCTGCTCAGCAGATGGGATTCGGGCCCTTTTGGGAAACTTTGTTTCTGCCGCTGGGAATCCATCATGGGAATCGGACCTCGGGAGGCTGCAAAGCTGCGAGCCCAGGAGGCTCGGGTAGCTTGGGAAACTCAGAGTTACGCCTTGCCCTCAACCTTGGATGGGAGCCCAGCTCTGATCTCGCTCCACTTCAGCGGTGCCACTAAGACCCTTCCCCAGCCTGCCTCTCTAGACCTTGCCCTGGTGAGTCCAGCTCCAAAAAACCACCCTGAGTCCCACAGATGGGAGCCGGACAGATGAAACGGCCCCAACCAGCCAGAGAAAGCCACTTTCTGTCCCAGAGCCATGTCCTCGGCCCCTTGCTTCTTCAAAGGACTCTTGCACCCAAGCCAACGTCCCATTTGCTCCCATCTCAAAGGCTTTCCCAGAGTCCTTTCCTGGCACCGCCGGCTTCCTCCAGCCTTTTCTGGATGTCCCCTTTCCTGGGGACGTCTTGCACTCACCAGCACGATCCCAGCCCTCCCGTTGTGCAACCTGGGTCGAATGCTGAGACCTGGCAACTGGACGGCGTCTCTGCCCCGAATGATCCTTGTAGGCAACTTACTTCACTCCTTTGCGGTCCCTTGTGCAATCTGTCGAAAACCACGGTGCTGGCCTCCAGTAGGTCACAGAGAAATGCTGGGGCTGCTCAGATTTCCCCACATGTCAACATTTTGACTAGGGAGAAAAAAAAAAAAAGGGGGTGGATTTTCCATTAGTTTTAGGGAAATTTGGTGGAGGCTGCAGGGATTCCGTGATCGAAGCTGGGATTAGGCAGTGGAGAGATGTACCTTGGTCCTGGCTCTGGCAGCAACAGTAGGAAAGCTCATGGAGAGGGGTGAGGCTGAACCAAAGGAGACCTCTGTGTGGGTTTCAAACTGGAGAATTTATACATTTTTTTCCCCCCCTGCTATCTAAACCGAAAGACAGCACCTCACCAGCACATGATCCAGGCACCGCGAGGTCCAAGCAGCAGCAAAGCATCCTTGTGTACAGCATCTCCTGCCCGGTACCCAGCAAAGCCTCGGGGGAATTAACGATAGGGATGAGAGTTTTCCAAGCTCTGCGACATTTTGGGGAGAGCTGCAACCCACTGAGCTCTTGCCAGCTCATTCCTTTGGGCTTCCTCTGAATAAAATCCCTGCGTTGTGGAGCTTTGCCTCCTCCCAGCTCCCCGTGAAGGAGGGAAGCAGGGGTTGGGTCAAGCACTTGGTGGGTCCCAAACCCACACCATGGGACCCAGCCAGAGGTGCTAAAGTGAGGGGGTAATTCTGGGTTGGGCTTTAAGCATCTCTGGAGGGAGAGAAACATAGGTTGCCCTGTAGTGGTGCCTCCCCAGAGCATTGGTTTTCACTCTCGAGTGCTTAAGGGCTTGTGTTTACGAGAGCTAAAAATATTTACTCGGGGAAGAAGGGGCAGGGAGAGGGGACATCGCCTGAAGATTCTACAGGCCCTGTTTTGGAAAGAGATTTACATAAAAATAACATGGTATTAAAGACAAAAACAAACCCAAACAACCCAACTAAACAACAACCCAATGCCGAGTGGAACGAAGTCACTGCACAACCCCAGGAACGGGGCTGGATGACGGACACCCCGACAGGACCCAGCCCCTTGGAGCCCTTGCCCACGTTTCACGACCAGGAGGGTTTCTGTTGTTATCTGAGCTCTCCTCAGCGTTTTACCTGGATTTTGACAACGCCTGGTCCCTACCTCACACGTTTGCTTTCACCATCTGCTGACAGCGGTTGGTGGGATGAGGGAGTTTTGGGGGTGATGCCGATGCCGGCAGCTCTCCTGGGAAAAAGGCTCAGACAAAACCCAGCCGGGGCTGCTGGCGAAGGGCAGGAGGGATTTCGGCACCTCTTGCTCCCGACTTGCATGTTAGAAATACGAAGTGCTAATTCCCTTTCCCCTGGGGGCCGGGGCCAGCGTGAGCCGGGGTTATCGGCACGGGCACACACCCTGCGGAAAAGGCCACGCAAGGCGGGGGGACCGGCGGTATTCAGACCGAAGGCACAGCCAGATCAGTTCTTTTGCTTCATTTTTAAAGGGCATTTTGTTTCCAGAAAGAAAAGGGAATAAATCAACGACATTTATCGCCCTGAGAAAGGAACGCCTGTACCCCGCCGCCATAAGACCCTTTTTGTGCTGTGGACCATCAGGCCTCCAGCGATGCTGTGCGGGTGCTACGCCGCGCCGACGTACACAGCCTGTGCATTGTGCGAGGCGTTTCCAAGGGCGAGCAGGGGCTGGCGATGCCACACGGCCTCAGCGGGACCCTCTCCTCGGGCGATCAATGGGACACTGTGTGCTCGGGGAGCCGGGTGGCATACAGCAGCTTGGAGCAGTGGCAGAGAGGTCGAGAACATAAAGATGACCCCAAAGTCTTCCACTGGTGCTCTTTAACACCGCACATCGTGCACCGTGCTTTGCGTTTATGAGCTGCTAAGCACCAATATTCCGTGGCAAAGCCTGGCAAGACCTAACGAAGGAGTTCGGCGTACAGGGGATGACGCCTTGCGCGGGGATGGCTCCATCTCAGGGGGGTGGGGGGGAAAGCATCAGCAGCTGCGTTTGTTGAATCTTGCAGCGTTTCGCAAGGCAGCAGCATGGTGAAATCAACCGAAACCACCTGCGAGTTTTAACGGGGATGAGGTTGGGGCCAGAAAGAGTCTGCAATCTAAACACCCAAAGACCCTGCGGACATCTGGCCATGGACCTGACCTCCTCGCTAGTCCTTAGCCATGGCTGAGAGCACGTACTCCAGGAGGAATAAGCCTCAAATATCCTCGTGGCAGCTGAGGATTGGGCTTGTTCAGCAAAACCCTCCCCAGTTGCAGGGTGCGATCGCACTGGGAGAACATCGGGCGTGTGCCACCACATATGGTCATGTGCGAGGTGATGGCACCGCCAAGAAGTAGGGCTTGATGGTCTGCTTGGCCTCCGAAAGGAGAAAGCCTGTGGTGCTGAGGTTCTCGAGATCCCCAAATCCCCCCACCGCTGAGCTCAGGGCGAGTCTGATTAAAGGATGCCGTTTTCGGTAGATAACCCCGAGAAGGAGGCGGCAACGCCGGTACGGAGCGGCTCCGCTCTCAAAACTCCTGCTTCATCCACATGGTATGATTTTCCCTGCTTGAATTCCTCCCATCTATTCAAACCATGTCTGACTTCTATCCCCAGCACGTCTGGACGACTGGTTAGAGAAAACAAAAGTTGGGAGGATGGAGATAAGGTTTCTGCTGGTGGAAATCTGTTTCTCCCTTCAGTTCTGGGGGCTACCTGCAGCACATAAGAAATTCTTAGTGAAAAAACACGGGTTTCTCCAAGACTCCCAGGAGAACCCTGCTTCCCTGCCTATCTCACAACGCATCGATGCCTTGCAGCCAAAATCTCCCTCCGTGCCCAGCACGAATGATCTTTTTTGTGCGCCTCGGCCCCACCAAACGGCCGTGAAACCTCGCCATAAACAGTGAGTCAGCTAATCCAAACCACACGGCAGCAAAACGCTGGAGGTCAACCCAGTGCACAGTCCCGCTCTTGAAAAGCAGAATTGCATCTCGAGCAAAACCAATAATCATAACGGACGTCGAAGAAGAAACACCCTCCTGCTCGCACGGCGGCAGAGCTGAGACCCCAGGAGCGAGTGGGACAGTGCCCGGGGTCACCGAGGATGGGTGCCAGGTCTGGTGGCACCCACCTAGAGACGGTCCCCAGGGAGGTGTTGGCTTCCCCCATCCCCTGGATCGCCTTGCTTTGCACATGCTTCCCACTCTGCAATCTCTGGATCAACTTCTCCGCTCCCTCGCTGCTCCACCCCTCTTCCTTTGGGGGTTATTTCCATCCCCATTTTGCTGGGCTCCCCTTTCTTTTGTTTCTCCCCTTTCTCTTTACGAAAGGCCTGGCTTGGACACGCTTGCACGAAGAAAAAACCGACCTTCAGCCAGCTGCCAGCTCTGCCTTTGGCCCGTTGCTCCAGTTTCATGTTTGACTCTAATCCCACAATTTATACAGCGGAGAGCCCTGGGGCCAAACCGAACATCTCGGGAACCTGCCAGAAACCTCAGCTTTACTTAAGCCCTATAAACAATTCCCTGCCTCCATCCCTGCACCTGCTGCCCGTGCTGGGGCAGAGGGGCAGAATCCCCTCCCTCGCCCCTTGCCCACGCTGCTGGGGATGCAGCCCAGGGCATGGCTGGCCTGCTGGGCTGCCAGCCCACGTTGCCAGGTCACGCTGAGCTTCTCGCCACCCAGCACCCCCAAGTCCTTCTCCTTCGGGCTGCTCTCAACCCGTTCTCCGCCCAGCCTGGATTTTTGCTTGGGATTGCCTCAACCCATCCAACAGTGCCTGTCCCAGTACCAACCCCTGAGGAACACCACTCCTCACTGGTCTCCACTTGGATGTCATGCTGTTGACTGCAACTCCTTGGGTGCAACCATCCAGCCAATTCCTCATCCACCCAGTGGTCCATCCATCAAATCAATGTCTCTCCAATTTAGAGACAAGGATGTCACGCAGGACAGTGTCAAATACATTGTTCAAGTCCAAGTTTTGTAGGCTGGAGCATCTTTGAGGGGTGGGTAACCACACGGCCAGTACCTGGTCCCTGAGCCCGGACCCCGGGGGAAGTCTGGGTCTAAATGAGGAGCATTTGTTATCACCACTCCCTTCCCACAACATCTGAGAGTTGCAAAATGCTCACCTGAGGGCAGAGCAGTGAAGAAATTCCATGTCACAGGCGGCTCCTGCATGACCTTGGGGCAATAGGTGAGGAAGAGAGCAAGGAGCAGGTTATGGGAGGTAAGGAGGGAGCAGGGACAAGCATGCAGGTGTCCTTGGCAACGGGATGTCCAGGAAAGCACCAGCATGTCAGCCATGGAAAGAGAAGAAATCAAAACACTCAGTTCCTGCCTCCGAGGCCGCTCGCTCATCTGACCCATTGGGTTTCACGCTTTTCCATTTGCACATAAGGAAAACCAAAGCAACCGCTGCAGCAGTTCAGTGATGGAAGTGGAACATCCAAGGGAGATAAAGCGAGTGATATGATTAGGGGTTTTATCTTCCCGGGGCTCTAAAAGATTCTTCTGAAACTCAACTGCAATGTCTTTTTTCACATCATTTTTCCCTCCCCATATGTTTTCTGCACAAACAAAACCTCGGAGATGCAAGCCAGCAACAGGACCAGGGTTCATGGCGCTTATGCCCAACTGCAATAAAAAGGTGCTTTCCCTGTTAACGCCATGATGCGTTCGAAATAAAGCGAGCACGACGCAATAAACTGTGCCTCAGCTTGCTCTATTTGCTGTCCTACCTTCAGGGCAACAAATGCTTTCGAGTCCCCTTTCGGAGCAGCCTTTTGCTGGGGATGGACCACTTCCCCCCAGCGAGGATGCTGCAAATTATTGAGCACCATCTGCTGGCACCTTATTTATGAACTCACTATTTACTTGTCTGCGGCACGGAATGTCCTCTTCCTAATCGACGTGGCTCTGCTTCGCTGAACAGCCAGACGGCTCCTCTCCATCTGGTCTCGCTCATCGCTGCGGCATCCGCACACTGAGGCTTCGCGGAGGGTTTTTGTGGGTGTTATTCCGTGGCAGTAGCTAAAATACACCTAAAAGGTGGGATAAGAAAAACAGATGGGCAGCACGCACTGGGGAAACTCTTGCCCGGCACAAGGCGAAGGCAAAACCTCCCACTGAGGGCAGGACTTCACACATAAACCTAATCACCATGGTGAATGCGGAGCCTAAATTCATTAAATTGGCAGCATCCTTCCCAAGCGCGAGACTAAACCCAGGAGATTGTGCCGGTCTTTACCAGCAGGATTCAGGACTCCAGTTGAAAAGGACATCAAGCTGTTTCCTCCTGTATGAATCACCTGAATATTCTCGCTCGCTCCAAGGCCTAAAACAATGATTTCAGACTCGAGTTTGCTGCTTGGTAATTCCTCCTGGCAGCTGGCTCCGTCGGTCTTCGGCACAGGCACGTAACTCAAGCCTCCAACAAGTGCTGATTTATGGCTTCAGCTAGCAAATCAGCAGAAAATCATCGTGGTACTCGCTAATATTTTTCCAAGAGGATTCTTCTCACGTGCAAGGTGAAAGGTCCTGGGACCCAGAGCCACAGCCCTCGCGCTCTTGTTAGGAGACAAACTACAGGCTGTTCTCGCCCGTGTCCCAGCTCCTACGCTTGTCACTGCAAAGGGGGTGTCCGAAACAAATCCACGCGATGTGGAAAGACGGAGATGCTGGGAAAAGGATGCAAGGGTGTTTTCTGCTCTGGAGGCAATCTGTGCATGCGTGAAGCTGGCATTGCAGTGCTCTGGGAGCGCAGGGTGGACTTAAACAGAACCTGAGTGGCCTGGATGCAGTATTATGAGGGGGATTTAAGCATGGGATCTATGGCAGCGGTGATCCCAAGGGCTCCAAGAAGCAGGAGCACATCCTCCAGTGTAAATCCATGTGAGCTCCAACTCGCTCCCTCTCATCGCGGATGAAGCAGAGGGTAACGATGCCCTTTAGGTGAACGAACTGAGTGTGTAATGTTATACGGGGTGAGGCTGGAGCAGTGCGAACGAGCCAGGGTCTGTGTTTCCAGCATGTACGTCTCTCCCGTGCGCTGTTCTGCTGGCAGTACGGGAATGTGAAATTTTCAGGACTTCAAAGCCGTCCTTCCAGTCTGGGCCGTGTGATCCAAGCCAAAGTGCAGCCCTAATCCATCATCCAATAAATGGATGTTTGTATATTTGTGTAAAATGAAAGATTGGAGAGGCCCAGAGCTGGAAACCAGATGCTTTCCCAAGAAATTAAAAGGGCTAAGGATTTAGAAATGCAGGAAAGCAAGACAGACCCTGCAAAGGAAACACCATCGTGGCTACTGTTATTAAAAATACCTGTCCTTGGCTTTCCACGGGGCTGTTGGGCTGGGAATGGCAGCATCTCCTTGAGCATCGCAGGCCATCTTTAATGGAGGAGAGAAGCGAGATGAGATGACATGCCCAAGGACACAAGGTAAGTCAGTGCCGGAGGAAGAAGCAGCAGCCAGTTGTCCCTCCGGACTAGCAGAGCTTCTCCTTTTGCAGTTCCCAACTGTTTCACCATAACGAAGTCCTTAACGGGACCAGCTGAACCAGTGAGTTCCAAGAAACTGCAGAATTGGCCACCGTTTTGAGCTCACTCTCCCTCCAAATACCCATCACTAAGGGCAGATGTCTGACGAAGGCGTTTGTTTCCGCAAACTGTCTCTTCATCGCACAGTCCCACTGGTTCCTGCCTGGTCAAAAGTAAAAGGCAGAGGACAAGCAGGGCTGAAACCCAGCCCGAAGCCCTACCAAGCTATGACAGCACGTTGTGATTTCATTCCTGGCTTGGATTTCTTTCTTTCCTCTTTTTTTATTTTTATATTGTTTGGATTTGGTCATAAGCAGGAAAAGCTGACCTCATTACAGCTGAAAATCCCCTGAGAGAGCCAGAGCCGTGAGATCTGCTGTCGGGCTGTGCAGGTGGAAAGGAAACCTCCCACGTGAGCCCAACAAGGTGGGCAGTTCCTGCTGTCCTCCGGCATCTCCCGGCCGAAAGCCGAAGTCCTTCGAGTCCTCTGCTAAAAGCTTCCTGAGGTGGATTTAAATCCATCCGTGCATTTCTGCAGGGCATGAATAGACCTCCAACAGGCCCTGGGAGGAGAGGCATCTCCCCACTGCCGTCCCATACGCATGGGGCACATTAGGAAAAAGCATTTCCATCACCAACGCAGCAAAGCACGCAGACCGAGTCTACAAAAATCAAGATCGGTCCCCAGGTGCTACCCAGGAACAGCAGAAATTCCTTTTTTCAGGGCGTTTTGGAAGTATTTCTTAGCCTTGAGATGGGATCAGCTGCAGGTTCCTGGGTCCCACCGGTCAGCGGGTGCTGGAAAATCGGCAGGATGCGTTGCGCTGCCGTGTGCCTTGCACGTGAGCAGGAGTTTTGGCACCAATGTGCCCGGGGTGAAGCATTCCCTGTACGGCACAGGCTCCGGGTGTTTTTCCCAAAAGCCCACGCAAGGAATCCTGTTTCGTTCTATACGCCATGATT